CTGGAGCCCAAAACTGGACGCAGTACTCCAGCTGCTGTGGTCCCCCTGCTTTACCTGTGGTGGATTAGGATCTTGTGTCGGGTTTAACAGTTTTAGGTTCGAGGTTGTAGGGCATGGTTTGGATAGCAGTGATTCTGCCTCAAGCAGGGGATTGGACTAGATGATTCCATCTAGGTCCCTTCCAACCCTGCTTCTTTATGACTCCATGATGGAAGCTACCTGTTAATAAGAATAAGATTGAAGTATGTTGGTTGCATTAAAAATACTTAACTATTGCATGCTTTGTGGGATGATATGCTTTTTATCATTTTGGTTTTGTCACCTATGCTTAGAGTTTGAGTTTCATGAGAAGTCTGAATATCTGATGGGTATGGTTGGTCATGGTATTGGTGCTCCTTCTATGTGGTTGGGCCTGCACTGTGGGAATTTAGACATGGATAGATCTGGTCAAGGTCTATTATTTCCCATCTTTCTGTTCTTCCTGGCACCATTTCTTTGGCTTAATATATTCCAGTTTAGTTTGGAGCTAGAAGAAACTTAACAAATAGCTTACATGCTGAAATGCTCGTTTCAGTGAGAAGCACAGAGGTTTCCATTACTAAACCCAATGGGTGAACAAGATGGATTATTTGTCCTGCTCATTGCAAGATGAATTTCTTTATAGTCTCCCACAGTGCACTAGATTCTGACTAACAGTTACTATCTTAAGTTCAGAGGGATCAATTTAGACCTTATCTGATGAATGTCGTAGAGCTTTTTTTTTTCCCCATATAGAGCCATCTAGAAAGAATCTAGTTATGAAAAAATGTTCACTCGAGATAACATCATGTACCAGCTGGAAACAATAAAAACCCTTATTTTCCCTTTTAAAGTAAATGGGTGGGTGGTTTCCATGGCCATGAATAGTTAATATACAGTCTTTTTCACTGGTCAGATCTTAACATTCCCAGAGAGAAAAGAAAGTGTCATGCAGTTATTTTTGATAACTTTCTCCACTCTTTACATCACACTCCTTGGTTGATAGTAATGGATTTTTAAAAATTGAATCTTCATGAAAATAAAGCATGGGTTTAACTGATGGGGAAATAAATTTCACAACCCAACTTGTTTTGTGAAGCTTACAAACCCTCAAACTTTGCATAATTCTACCATCCCTTGTCTTAAGTATGAGGTGACAGAAGAGAGAAAAAGTGTTACTTTTTTTAACCAACAATTTATGACTGTGTCAACACATGACAGTTTGTCAAAGCTTTGCTGCTGGTGATGCTGCTGCTGCTGCTGCTGCTGCAAATTAATTTTGAGCATCAGTTGTGAGTGGTAAACACTTTCTGCAGTGTGAACAACTTTAGTGTGAGGTGTCAGCAGCTTGCTGTCTACCCTGAAATGAGAGAGAGAGGCAGAAAAAACTTCATTGACTAGTACAAAATGGATCTCAATCTGTGTGGCCAAAACTTGAGGTAGTGGTTTTATTTCTTCCAAAACTATCAGTTAAGCGGGAACACTTGGAATTTAAAGTTTTCTTCATACCATCAGTGTTCCACTACTAACGTTTTTCAGAATCTGACTCGTGTTGGGGGAATCCAGGCCATCAGGAGGGTCTTTTAGTAAACTTCATCTTTGTGGCTCCTGATAGACTAGATAAGAATTTATTCTCTGCAGCATTTTAAATTTACCTGCATCTTTAATAATCCATTATTTTCATATGGCTAAATCAGGAGTGGGCAAAATGTGGCCCACCAGGCCATTCTGTCTGGCCTGCAGAGCCCATAAAAAATTTAGAAAATTTATTTATCTGCCCCTGGATGCCTGTCATGTGGCCCTTGATGGCTTGCCAAAACTCAGTAAGTGGCCCCTCCACCTGAAATAATTGCCTGCCCCATGGCTAAATAAATACAAGCCTTTGCTTTGATTCAGTTGACGGAATAATTAATCTTAGTAAAAACTTCTAGGTCTTCATAACTTGCAGTCAGATAATACTTTCCAAGACCAGAACATCAACTTTCCCTTTCAAGAGTTGACTGGGAAAATATGATCTGTCCCAGTTTCTAAAGCAGTGACTAACCACTTTTATAGTTTCATAGTTTCTAGGGTTGGAAGGGACCTGAGCAGATCATCTAGTCCGACCCCCTGCCATGGCAGGAAAGAGTACTGGGGTCAAACGACCCCAGCAAGGTGTTCATCTAACCTCTTCTTAAAAACCCCCAGGGTAGGTGCCTGCACCACTTCTCTTGGAAGTTGGTTCCAGACCCTAGC